GGTACATAAGAAAAATAAAAAGTATGACTGCATAAAGATGCAATAACGTTCTAATAAAAAACATAAACTGTCAAAATTACAATTTTGCTTTAATTTGCAATAAAATTAGTTTGTTTTGCTGCTTCATCTGTCCTTTTCCCCTCCATCCTTTCTCACAAGAGTTACCAGACCAGTTATAACAGAAATGTTTAATTTAACTTCCAGTTAATTGCCATACCACACCCCTATTTATTTTTTCTTGTTTCCGATTAAAAATATTATCAATACTCAATGAGTATGCATATAATTTTATTACATTACATATTTTATTTTTATATTACTTTCTATCCTAATAACGTATGGAGCTCCTGGCCAACCGCTAGCCTTTCGAGCCTCAACTCTCGATTTCGACTGCGAGGAGCGACGTTGACAAATTTAACATGTTCTTTTCCTTCATTTCATGTAGAATGTACTTCTCAAGAATTTCGACCCATGCCGATGACGGCCGAACCGAGTAGGTCGGGCGAGAATTAGAAATCTCGCGCACTAGGAAAAATTCCCATTAGGAATTTTTACGCCATCCCACAGTACCGCACCTTACGATAACAGCCGATGTTTGCCGAAGTCAACTTTGTTTACCTAAATTGTATCATTGGATTTATGCTTGCGCTTATTAGTTAATTTTAATAAATTCTTAAATCAATGCGTTTTTACAAAGGGCATCTGGTACGTGTTTAAGGGCTCGTTGATTTTGACGCGTTTACGATAACAACCGATGTTTACCGAAGGACTCAACCTTCAACAATATTGTTATAAAACTGAGCTACATTTATTTTTGTATCAGTCTTTAAGCGGTGGTCGTCGCAACAACACGTATGCTGCTGCTGCTGCTCCCACAACCTAGAAATAGTTTAGGTACTTACCTTACGCCGTTGGTACTGCTGGTGCTGCGCCCCTATAGCTAGTTTGTGGTAAGTAAATATTCTACGTTAATGTTTTTTTTGATAAATCAATGGTGCTAATAAATTTGGGGGCCCCCGGGGCGCAGGGCTAGGTGTATGGCATATGGTGAATGGCGCTCGTATATGGTATTTGGCTTGTGTACGAACGTCGTTCATTACGTGATCTATACCTTTGAGACAACTTTAGTTTGGGGCCCTCATATAGACATACCTACAATTAATTTTAAATACGTTTGTGGTCGTGTTGATTAAGGCGTTAGCTTGGCGATCGACAGGTCCGTGGTTCAAACCCTACACCGAACTTTTTTATTAAAATAAATTTAAATGACGTCAGGCGGATGACGTCATGCATCCCAAATTACAGTTACCATCATTATAACGCTTGAGCTACCCGATAGGTGGCGCGCGGTAGTTCCGGAGGTAGACGTTAGATGGCGTTCGGCGTCTACGTACAGTGTTGCCGGATGCATAGCAAAATGCGACGTTGCCAAATCTAAAAATCAGAAGATTTAGGGAAATTACATATAACCCATGTTATAAGATTTACATGGGGTGGGGCGCTATGGACGGGAAAATTTCCCTAAATTTAGGGAAAAAATGGGGGTTGACCTTGGTCTAAGGTGCCCCCATACCTACTAACATGCATTCTGCCTTTTTAAACAGACTCTTTTGTTATCATTAAAATTTGCAAACATTTTTTCTTTTTTATTGTTACTACTACTTGAGAGTATAAAATGGCGGCAAGAAGTGCGGGCAAAGATTTTTCACCTACCGATATTAACTTTAAATGCCACCCTACGAGAAAGTCGGGGGTGGTTGTTTGTGCTCTTTGTGATACTGTATACCACAGAAGTGACTATGAATCTAAGTGCACACCCGTTTACATCATACATCTCTTAGTTATTTGTGAAAATCATAGCGGCATTGACCTAACCTCAATAAATACAAGTCAACAAATCAATTCCACAAACTCTTTAATATTTGCCAAGCTAAGGAGTGAGTTAGTGCATAAAGATAAAGACTTAATTAAATACAAAAGTGCATATTACCAACTTAAGCAGCAGTTTGATGCGTTGAAAGCTGGGCATGTTTCGGGCTCTAGTGGGTTTATTCGAGACAACAAACCAATATCCGAGAATTCAAACGATTCGGATGAATTATTACATGTGAAACAAATAAATAGTCAACTTGTAGACAAAAACAATATTCTTAAGGACCTAAACACTACACTCAAGGAACTAAATACGGAATTAAAAGATAAAAATACCAAGCTTTCTGAAAACATAACCTCAAATAACAACATTATGCCAACGTTCACCGATATAGTCAAAAACAAACATTTTAGTTACAAGAAAAATATTCCTTGTATTATTGTTAAATACAACAGTGAATCCTGAAACGAAACATCTATAAATAATATTAAAAAATTGCTATTTCATTCTACGGGTATACAGTTTAATAAAGTTAAATCTGTTAAAGGGAAATTGATTATAGGCTGCAACAACGAGGAAGATATTGCGAAAGTTTGTCAAAAATTGGAGAATAATATCACACAAGGAATGACTATGGAAGTTGAACAGTTAAAAAAACCCAGGCTAAAAATACAAGGGATAGACATGGATTTGAAAAACGTTAATAAGGAAGAAATTATTCATGAAATTAAAGAGAGAAATGGATTTGATGGCAAATTAGTTATAAACTATCAGCATAAATTTTTTAATAAGAAAAATTCGAATTGGAACATAATAATTGAGTGTGATGCAGTAGCATACAGCCAGATAATGTCTAACAAATGCATTTATTTTGGCTATAATAGATGCAGAGTGATGGACGATTACAATTTGAATAGATGTTATAACTGTTCGCAGTATTTTCATTCCAAATGCACAACTAATACAGTATGCAGTAAATGTGCTGGAAATCATAACACCAATGAATGTAACAAAAGTAATTCTCCAAAATGTATCAATTGTATTGCCTCAAATCAAAAATATAAAACAACAAGACGTACAGACCATGAAGTTTATGATTTAAATGCTTGTGACGCCTATAAGTACTACCTACAGAGGCATATTCAATCAGCTGACTACCCATACAACCCTACACACACAAAAGACACCAATGACAATCGATTCTTTTCTTCGTATCTCCAAAATATGTCAAATTGTGATACAAAAACTGAGTATTACAGAAAAAATATTTTCAGTGGTAATTTACAATTCTCGTTTAGACTTGCTGAAGTATCTGAAATAAATAAAATTTTGAATAGCATAAAAACTAACGCAACAGAAGAAGACAAGATTACGCCGCTGATGTTAAAATATTGCAGTCCATATATAGACAAGTATATTACGCACATAATTAATTGTTGCTTGGAACGCAATTACTTTCCGGATAAATGGAATATATCTATAGGAATACCCCTTTCTAAAGTTACTAGTTACTCCGACGACATACAACGATCTACGGATAATAAGTATTCTACCGTCACTGTCAAAAATATATGAGAAAATTTTATATTGACTGTATAAAATTTTCTAATGTATGATTATTTTATTACTAATGAAATTATTCCTGATAGTCAGTGTGGTTTTCGAAAACATTTTGGAACAACAGTGGCTTTAGCGAATGTTGTTGATGATATCATCAGAGCTTGCGACAAAAGTCTTGCTAGCATATTGATACTGTTAGATTTTTCAAAGGCTTTTGATACAATAAACCATGCACTTCTCTTATCTAAATTACATTTCTATGGCTTTTGTACTGAATCGTATTTCTTAATTGAGTCTTATTTATCCAACAGATTTTTGACTGTTTTTTCTAATAATAAATATTCCAACAAAATTAGGCTGCACTCTGGTGTACCACAGGGCTCTGTCTTGGGTCCGTTGCTGTTTCTTGTTTATACATCTGACATATTAAAGTCTTTATTGCATTGTAAGGTACAAGCATTTGCAGATGACACTCAACTGTATAGTTACTTTGAGATGGATGACTATCTGGAAACTGAAGTAAATATAAATAAAGATTTAGAGATCTTAAGCCAACTTGCCAAAGGTCACAATTTGGTACTGAATAGTTCTAAATGTTACATTTTACTTTTTGGAAGCAGTAACAAAATTAATTTCTTGGAAAACAATCTTAATATAACAATAGACAACGGAAAGCTAACTTTTGTTAACAGTTTAAAAAATTTAGGATTACTTTTGGATGTGGAACTTAGATTTAAGGAGCATTTGAAAAAACTATTACAACGAGCATACCTCGCTTTAAAGCTGTTATACAACAACAAACATATTCTAAATGTATACCTAAAGAAAAATCTTTGTGAATCGCTTGTAATGTCTCACTTTAACTATGGCGATTTTATTTATGGTTTTTGTCTGGATCAAGAAAGTAGGTTACGCATTCAAAAGGTGCAAAATGCTTGTGTTCGTTTTATTTTTAATATAAGAAAGTTTGATCATGTGACTCCCTTTTTTAAAGAACTTAATTGGCTAAAAATGGACTCGCGTAGAACTTTACACTTGTGTACATTTATTGTGAAAATAATTAGCAACCCCTCTGCTCCCCTATCTATTAAAGAGCGTTTAATTTTCAGACGTGACATACACGAAGTTAATATTAGGAATGGAGGTGAGTTGACGATGCCTCATCATCGGACAGCCATTTTTCAGCGCGGGTTTTCATATAATGCCATTAAGGGGTATAACTCGTTACCAACAGAATTGTTGAATTTGGGTGAGAATGCGTTTAAGCATAAATACAGAGAGTATCTTTTAATGCATTCGTAATTTTTCATATTTTTCTTTTTTTTATACTCTGCTTTTGCATTGTACATGTGAAACTTTTTTTATGGCAATTTGTAAAACATTATATTTAATTATTAAGTTTGCATGTTCTGGTTAAGTTGAGTAGCTATTGTAGCTAGACTACGTTAGACTTGCAATTTTGTTACCATCTTATGTATTTTTTTTTTGTAAAATAAAAGCAATTTATCGACTTAGCTATTATGGCATTCACACTCCCTTTGAGGGGAACATTCACTCATCCCAGATATTAGATATCAGAGGGATTGAGCTCGGTGGGAACCCTTTCTATGGTATAGGGTTCTTGAGGTTTAGATGGGTTACCTAAATATTTCCTAGTTGTTCGCGCGGTCGCCAGCAAGGTTGCTTCTTGCATACTTTTATATAAATTTTCGTTGAGCCCCAACTCACTAATATTCTTCTTTAGTTGTTTTGGGATAAGGCCCGTTGTTGATACAATTATCGGGATCGTTTTTATGGTCTCTATTTTCCACTGTTTTTTAATTTGTTCCTGGAGATCTCGGTATTTGGCAATCTTTTCACAATGCTTGCTACCCAAATTGTTGTTGTTAGGAATGGCCAAGTCGAGGATGATTACATTTTTCATAGCCTTATCGATTAATAGGATGTCCGGTCTATTATGATTTACTGTATGATCTGTAAGGATGGTTCTATCCCAATACATTTTATAGTTTTTGTTTTCTAAAATTGTTTCTGGAACATATTTATAATACGGGAGTTTTTCCGCTTGCTGTAGTTGGTATTTGATAGCTAGTTCCTGATGTAATATTTTCGCTACAGAATCGTGTCTCGCTTTATATTCGGTTGCAGAAAACATCTGACATCCGCCTCTGATATGTTGTATGGTTTCCGCTGTTTGGCATCCGTATCGGCACTTGTCATTTTCGATTGTCGTATTTTTCACAATATACTTTAGGTAGTTTCGGCTTGCGATTACCTGGTCCTGGATAGCCATTACGAAGCCCTCGGTTTCAGGAAACAACTGTCCCGATACTAACCAATAGTTCGACGCCAAAGTATCGACAGTATCTTGATCAGCATCATTGATGTGCCTCCCATGCAAGGGCTTTTCTTTCCATATCTGCATCTTTTCCTCGTTAGTTTGATGGTGCGTTTGAATTTCATGTTGGTTCAACAGGAGGGGAGTTGAGTCGTCTGCTGCGCATATTACTTTATGCAAAGTTGAAGTTAATGCTTCTCTGTGAAAGTAAGCTCGAAGATTCGTTATTTGTTGATCCAATTGTTTGCATATATCTACTAATCCTCGTCCCCCTTGTGATCGTGGCAAAGTTACTCGTTCAACTGAGCTTTTAGGATGGTGTTTTTGTGCTTTTGTGAGTGTAGTTCTGATCTTACGTTCAAGGTTTACTAGATCGGTTTTACTCCATTTTACTATTCCAAAAGAGTAACCAAGCACGGAGCATGCATATGAGTTAAACGCCTTAAAAAGGTTTTTACTATCGAGCTTAGTTTTTACCAGATGTTTAACTCTTTTGGTGAATTATGCCGTAAGGTCGTCCTTCATTGCCCTATGTTCTATTTTACGGGCCTGCTTTATTCCGAGATACTTATAGGTGTCTCCATTCTTCATCGCCTTAATAGCTTCCCCATTATGAAGTTCGAATTCGTCATGTGCCAATTTACCTCTCACAATATTAAGAATACGACATTTGTTCATTCCAAAACTCATTCCTATGTCCTCAGAGAACTCTTCTACTATTTTCAGCATTTGCTCCAGTTGGTTTTTAGTAGCTCCCATCAGCTTCAAATCATCTATGTAAAGTAAATGATTTAGTTTCAAATCTTCTCTAACTTGACTTTTTATACTAAAACCGTATTTGGTGGAGTTTAATCGGTGCGAAAGTGGATTCATTGCAATACAGAACTAAAGTGGACTCAATGAATCACCCTGAAAAATACCTCGCTTAATTGGAATTGGGCAGGTTGTAAAAGTGCGGTTGTTTTCATTCAGATGAATCGTGGTTCGCCAGGTAGACATTGCATGTTTTAAGAGGTTTATTAATGTAGGGTTTACTTTATATACTTCTAATATTTTGATTAACCAATCGTGGGGTACGAGTGAGTCGAATGCCTTTTTATAATCTATATAGGCCATAAAGAGGTTTCTGTTTTTATTATACGCCTGATTACAGATAATAGCGTCGATTACTATTTGCTCTTTGCACCCCATCGAATTCTTCATGCAGCCCTTCTGTTGAGTAGCAATGATGTTATTCTGCTCACAATACTCGTACAGCCTACTAGTAATACAAGATGTCATCAACTTATACAACCTTGGGAGGCAAGTTATAGGGCGATAGTTGGCTGGATTTTCGCTATTATTAGGATCTTTTAAGATAAGGTACGTATTGCCTGGTGTCAGAAAAAGCGGTAGCTTCTCAGGATGAATCATAATTTCGTTTATTAAAGATGTTAAAGCTTCATGTGTGCACCATAGCTTTTTAAGCCAATAATTTTGAATGGAATCAGGGCCTGGTGTTTTCCAGTTATGTAATCCTTTAATTATTTCTGATATTTCAGTCACAGTAAAAGGTTGGTATTGCATGGAATTGTAGTCTTCTGCTGCATTAATTTCTTCATCAATCCAGCTGCCTTGAGTGTTGTAAGTTGTGGAAGTGGCAAGCTGCTCCCTCCAAAATTGCTCTGTTACTTCTTCAGTAGGGTAGGCAATATTTAATTCGGCATTTTGATTATTAAAAGTTCTATAGAATGCTTTTTCTGATTTTCTGAATAGCATGTTGTCACTTTTTCTCTGGTTACTGCTCTTAATAATAATAATAATTTATTATTATTATAATAATATAGTTCTTACAACCAACCAAACCGGTGTGGCTGTCGGGTTGTAAAAAGAATTACACCAAGGAACCTCCTGCCTGTCGTAAGAGGCGACTAACTGGAGCAACCGGTCCCGCTACCCTATGTAACCTGATCCTCCTATCCACATACCTCCTCTTTTATCCAACTCCTTCCTTTTAGCGTCGGTTCTTCATCAGAGCGGCTAAAAAGTTAAATCTAAATGCGTCTGTACCCAGAGTGGGCGGCATTTAGTCGGCGTCTGTACCCAGATGCAATGCAAACTAAGCACAATGATGCAAACAAATAATCAAGCCTCGGAAAAACATTCATCAGGTGACCAGACTGCTCCTGGTGGAATAAGATTGCAGTCTACCCATGGAGTTGGGGATAGCAGCGGCTCTGAGTCAAAAGCGACATCCCCTGCTAGTTCACGAGAGTCTACACCAGAACGACAGACTCGAGTCAGAAGTAATGCCGCGGCACAACTTAGTAACGCTGCTATAGCTAACCCACTGACTAACAAGCGTACGAAATGGACAGATGAAATGAACAGATACGTTGTCCACGCATATTACTTAGTGACAGAATTGGAGAAAAACAAATCTGGCTTTAGGAAAAATCTACACAACAAATTCAAAGGGAAATACCCGGAACATATTTTCACTGAACAGAAAGTAGCAGGACAATTAAGGTCAGTCATGAAGAACAAATATATATCAGAAGAGATAATAGAAGACATCAAGAAAGCAGTAGAAAAAGAGCTTCATAATAATATTACGAGCGAAATACAACACCCACAATGCACAATACAAGAAGATGATGAAACGGAGGAGAAACAAACTGATCCCATAGAAGAAGAGCTTACAACAAATAATGCACTAGAACCGAATGAAGACCATGATCTAGAGATAACAAGAATATACAATAAGGAAGACACACAAAAGTTGCAAGAAATGGAAAGAGCAATACTCGAATATATAGATACAGACCCAACTTTGAGACCAATCTTGCCAAAGCATCATTCATCCAAGAAACTGACCAATACTACCAAAATAATGAATGAAGTAATACTACCACAATATCTCAGAAATGACATAAAAATAGAAGAACTGCACGCAATAATATACTGCGGAGCACTAACAATAACAAGAGCGATAGGTGGTAAAATTATTATAGAGAGTGAAAGCGCAACGAAAATAAAAAATAATAAACCAGGGTGGATGATGAGACTAGAGAAGCGAATTAAAAATTTAAGAGCAGACCTGAATAGAATCATAGGATACAAGGAGGGTAAGAGATCACGTAGATTAAACAACAGTGTTAAAAGAATTCTAGCGAAGTATAAGATACATGCAAAACATGATAAAAACAATGAAAACATAAATGAAGCTAACAACACGATCAAACAAAAATTGGCAGCATTGAATAAGAGACTCAGAAGATATCGAGATACAACATTGAGAAAAACACAGAACAAACAGTTTACAAACAACGAGAAACAATTCTGCAATAATCTGAACAAAACAAATAGCAAGGGTAAGGGAGCACCAACTAAGGATGACATAGAAAAATATTGGACAAAACTATGGTCTGAAAAAGTAAATCACAATAAGGAAACACAATGGATAGAAAGGGAAAAAGAGGCCAATCAAAGCATTACTAGAATGGAATATAAACAGATAACCATTGACGAAATAGGCGAAACAGTAAAGAAAACACACAATTGGAAAGCAACAGGAATCGACAACATTCACAATTATTACTACAAGTGTTTTACATGTACACACAACCAACTAGCACGTAATTTTAATAAGATACTGGATAACCCTAAAACCATGCCCGAGTTTATGTCAACTGGAGTAACATACCTTAAGTCAAAAGATGAAGACACTAGAAATGCAACCAAATACAGACCAATAACATGCCTTCCCACAATCTACAAAATATTCACTTCAATCATCGCAAATAAACTGTACGACCACTGTAGTCAAAATAGTATCCTAGCAATGGAACAAAAAGGGTGTATTAAACAATCAAAAGAATGCAAGGAACAACTCATTATAGACATGATAGTGACAGAGCAAATAAGAAAACAAAAGAGGAACCTACATTCATCATATATTGACTTCAAGAAAGCATATGATTCAGTTCTCCATAGCTGGCTCCAGAAAGTTCTGGACATATATAAGGTACACCCAATAATAACGGAATGCCTCAAAACTGTAATGAACAAATGGAAAACAAAAATAATACTTAATACCGAAATAGGAAAAATAGAAACTAAATATATCCAAATAAATAGAGGTATCTTTCAAAGCGACTCGTTGAGCCCGCTTTGGTTCTGCCTGGCACTAAACCCGCTTTCTAACATCTTAAAGAGGGAAGACACAGGCGTACAGATTAAACAGAACAAAGAAGTAATTTACACATTGTCACACCTTCTCTATATGGATGATATAAAGATCTACGCACCCACAGAAATGCAGCTTAAACACCTAGTAAAAATGACATACAATTTTTCGAATGATATTAAAATGGAATTTGGACTGGACAAATGCAGAACACAGACGATAAAGAAAGGGAAACAAGTAGTAGAAAGGGTACAGGGAAACAACATGCCAAAAATCGAACCAATGTATGAAGATGAAATGTATAAATACTTAGGAATGCCTCAAAAACAATGCGCTGAACACAAATATATAAAAGAAACAATAAAAGAAAAATATTTCAAACGCATCAATATGATCCTTAAATCTAAACTCAACGCTAAAAATCAGATTAAAGCTATAAATACATACGCTATTCCACTACTAACATATACATTTGGAATCGTTAAGTGGACACAAACAGAAATGAAAGACATCCAAACAAAAACAAATGTCGCCATGACGAAACATAGATGCCACCATCCAAAAGCGGCAGTAGAAAGAACTACACTCAAACGGAAAGATGGTGGTAGGGGACTTATAGATCTATCTAACCTGCACAATAATAGTATAATAAACCTAAGGAAATACTTCTACTCAAAACAAGCAGAATCTCCATACTATAGAGCTATTGTAAAAGCAGATAAACACACCCCACTAATACTAAGTGATGAAGAAAAAACTTGGTCCATAGTAGAAGACGCAGACAAGCTTACCCGCTGGAAAGAAAAAGCTCTACACGGAAGGTTTCCCCATGACGTAGACCAAGACACTGTCGACAAACAAGCATCGTACAATTGGTTAAAACGTGGAGAGCTACAACCGGAAACTGAAGGTTTTTTTTTATAGCCATCCAAGATCAAGTGATTAAGACCAATAACTACCGAAGATACATATTAAAGGACGGAATTGAGTCTGACTTATGCCGAAGGTGTAAGAAAGCAAGTGAGACAATACATCACGTCATAGGAGGATGCCAAGCTATAGCACAGAGTGACTACAAATTTAGACACGACCAAGTGGGAAAGATCATACACCAAGAACTAGCATTGAAGTATAAACTCATAGAGCATAAAGTTAACTATTATCAGTACGAACCTGCTACAATCCTTGAAAACAATGAATATAATAAATAATAACAGATAAAAGACTAGAACACAATAGACCAGACATAGTAGTGAAGAAGAAAAAAGAAAATGAAGTGTTGCTTATAGATTTTGCGGTGACAAACAACAATAACCTAACACAAACATACAGAGAGAAGATTACCAAATATATTGATTTATGCTTTGAAATTAAGGATATGTGGAAATACGATCGAGTCCGGGTCATTCCTTTAGTACTATCGAATATGGGTGTAATACCAAAAACACTAATTGAATCGCTGAAGGCAATAGACTTAGAAACATACCAGTACCAACTTATGCAAAAATCTGTAATCCTTAACACCTGCCATACAGCAAGGCGATTTCTATACATGTAACTTAACCGGGAACGTTTCTAAGCCAGAAAAGTTATCACCATCATGGTTGAGACGAGTCACTCCTCCAACCACGAGAAACCAACGGATGTAGTTGAGATAAAACGATATAATAATATATTTTTTTTAAGCTCAGCATAGCTGGTTATATCTAGGAATTCGGGTCTTTGCCAAGAATTCTTACAATGTTGATCCTAGGAATGACCGCACAATGTTACATGTGTTAAGAATAACAGCTTTCTGCATATCAATGTAAGTATTTACAGTAATGTTCAGTAATTTCAAGTTTTGTTCAAGAGTCTTTGGTACAATGCCTGACATGCATAACTGATATAATAATGGGTACAATGCTAACCTTCATATTCCACATCGCTTCGATCTCTTGTGCAAGGTGAGTATATTTATGTATTTTCTCTTGATATTTTTGGGTCAAGTTTTGTGTGTTTGGTACGGATATGTCTACGAGCTTGACTTTGTTACGTTTATCAATTAGTGTTATATCCGGCCTGTTGTGCGGTATTGTCACATCTGTGAGTATTGTCTTATCCCAGTATATCTTTACGTCTTCATTTTCGATGACTGGCTTTGGTTCGAATGAGTAATAGGGTTTAGGATCTTCTTCAAGCAACGAGTATTTCCTCAATATTTCCTTGTAGAGGATGGTAGCTACTTCGTTATGCCTTTTTAGATATTTCGTAGGAGCTAGTGTCGCACATGATGACGTAATATGATCAAGGTTTTCCTGAGGCTTTCCACATTTGCGACATTTGTCAATTACATTATTTTGCTTCATTATGTATTTTTCATAGTTTTTTGTTTTGATGACCTGATCCTGAATTGCAACAACGAATCCTTCGGTCTCAGGAAACAAATAACCTAGTGTTAGCCATTTTAAAGATTTTGTTTTGTCTATATGACCGCCATCTATGTTATTTTTGTATCTACCATGAAGTTGTTTAGATGCCCATTCTTGATATTTCTGGTGATCTGTCTTTATAAGTTAGCTAAGTTTAGGGGTGTATAGGATTTATCTGACTCAATAATTGTTCGGTGTACTTCCTTGGATTCATTTTTATAAAAATACTGACGCATGTCATGGATTTGTGCATAGTGAAGATTTTTGAGGTCGATTAGTCCTCTTCCTCCATTCCGATCTTTGGAGGTTTACTCTTATCTGTGATAATTTTGGATCGTGCATTTGGAATTTAGTCAAAGTGGTGCGGACCACCATTAAGTGCTTCCAGATCTGTATCAGACCACTTAACAATACCAAAAGAGTATGTAAAAACTGGAACGGCATAAGTATTAATAGCTTTTATGATATTATTTGATGAGAGTTTAGTTTTGAGTATGCTGACAAGTCTTTGTTTGAATTCTTTTGTGTATTTGTCTTTCATTATTTTATGTTCATTTTTATGTGTTTGTATGATTCCTAAATACTTGTAGTGACCAATCCCAATTCTCTCAATAAAATCTCCACCTTCCAGCTCAAAATCTAATCCATCCATCAACTGGCCTTTTTCGACGGTAACAATTTTGCACTTGTCTAGCCCAAAAGACATTCCTATATCTTGCGTCATGTTGTTAGTCAGTTCGAGTATACTACTTCAAGTTGTCTCCTGTTAGCAGCGTATAATTTGAGATCATCCATGTAGAATAGATGATCGATTCTACATTGGTTCCTGCTTCCTTTGACGTTCACGCCATATTTTGTATTTTTAAGGGTGTTGGATATTGGGTTAAGTGCTAGGCAAAACCAAATAGCACTTAGCGAATCACCTTGAAATATTCCTCTCTGTATGCGTTTTTTATTGGTTTTAATTTGTGTTTCTTCTTGTGTAATTTGCAATGAGGTAGACCACTCAATCATAGTGTCTTTCAGAAACTTGATGTCACGATTGATTCCATAAATTTCCAACACATGAAGTAGCCAGGAGTGAGGAATAGTATCGAACGCTTTTCTGTAGTCAATGTATGCGATGTTTATATTGCGACATAGTTTTCGGGTCTGTTCAAGAATAACGGCGTCAATGGTTAGTTGTTCTTTGCATCCTAATACATTTCTTTTACAACCCTTCTGCTCTTCAGTCATAATGTTGTGCTCTGAGAGATGGTTGTAGATTTTTGTGCACATAATTCCCGAGAGGAGCTTATATAATGTCGGCAAACAGGTGATTGGCCTATATTGAGATGGGTTAGATGTATTAGAGGATTTAGGAAGAAGATACGTAATTCCTTCTGTAAAAAAATGGGGTGTGAGTGATGGAGATTCGATAAAACTGTTAAATATACGTGCAATGTGTAGGTGTAACACATTCAGTCGTTTCAACCAGAAGTTATGTATACCGTCTATGCAGGTGCTCTCCAGTTGGCGGATTTCAACAGAGTTTCTTCAACATCCTTGCAAGTTATTAATGTGTATGGCATTTTTTGGATATTTGAAAACCTTTCTTCCTCTTTCTGAATCCATTTTGCAGAACTAGGATGTTCTCTGGGGTTCATCCATATGCTTCCCCAGAAGGTCTCAACATCAGTCTTGTGTGGTAATCCATTTCCAGGGTCTACAGCATCTTGTCGAAGTTTTCTATAAAAAGATCGCTGATTTTTCCGAAAGAGTTGGTTGTCTCTGTTTCTTGCATTAGAGTCTCCATATCTACGCAGTATTTTGCTATACACTGCTAGTTTTTGTTTTAAAGTGTCCACGTAATCAGTTATTATGTGTTTGTGTTCTGTAGGTGGTTTCATATGTAGCTTTTGTTGGAGGTCTGTTGGTATTTTTTGCATATTGGTAAGTTTATGGTTTGATAGTGCTGTGGTAATACCTATTTTTCGCCTAAGGTTTTTAATTTTATTTTCTAGACGCAGCTGCCATTTTGGTTTCGTAGCGATCTTTTTAGAGGTTTCTGAAAGACTAGTAAACAACTTCTGATTCTGACTAAGAACTGTTCTTGCGGCACAGTAGATGAGTAAATGAAGTTGAATCATATTATAATCTGCAAGAGATTTTGTTTCGATAATTCTGTTTATTGTCGAAATTAGTGCATTCATCTGGGAATTATAATTGAGCTTGGGCAAAAGTGGCTATGCCATCATACTCAATAAGAAGTTGTTCCAATGTATTACGCATTTTTGTGAAGATAGGATTTTCTTGTCGCAGTTCAGATCGTAGCTGATTCTTTTTTTTTTTGACTATTGTTTGTAGGTGCCTCAGGTTCTAGGAGTGTTTCTCGATTCTCAGTTCTATCGAGTGCAACATTTTTCTCTTGCAGCTCCTTCTCGACCTCTTCTTTTAAAATATCTACTACGGCTTCGGGTAGCAAATTATTTCTTAGTATTACATTTTTCTGCATAGCTGCTCTCTTTTGTGGTATATGAGACAAATGGAGGTAGATCGAGACAAAGGCTTCTTGAAGTTTGTCTACATATAGTGCGGTATCTCTCTCAAGGTTCGTCACACGAAAGTAGCAGCGCATGATATTTTTGTTCATTTCAGTTGTCCATACAATGCACCGTCTACTCTGCTGCTGTTTTACTGGTTCATTCACCACTTGGGTGGCCACAGAAGGGGGATTCTGCGTAACACTTTCGGTGGCGGGGACAATTAGCTCTTGAACGTCCATTGAGTGATGTGGAGTGTGTGTTGTGTCATTTTGTGTCGGTAGTGTCGAAACTGGATCGTCAACGTTTTGATCGGGCTGTGAGTTCCCGCGTCGTCCCCGATCGTTACGACGCTCGTCCGAGGCTTGGGTACTTATTTTTGGAACCCGTTCTACACACTTGAGGGGGGTTAGCCCTACAAGTGGTTGTGTTGTCGTTAGCCGAAAAATTCGGTTGCCCGGGATGCACCGCGTGGAGGTGACAACATGCACCCCATTAATTTATTATTATTTTTTTTTTTTTAATTCACAGATTTTTCTTATGCGCAGCCGGGGTTTAACCAAGGCTATCACATTTCCACATCACCTGGACAGAAACCTTCTCACAATTGCTGTAGTGCCCAGAATTGCAGCTTTTTGTAATAGAACAAGGACTGGTCTTCGTAATCCCAAACGCCTCAGGATATCAGGTAAGTTTTTATGTATTAAACCGTTGGCAGTAATCATTATTGGTAAAATTTTTACGGTTTTTAGATTCCAAACTCTCTTCAACTCAACGCTTAGAGCCTCATATTTATCTATCTTTTCTTTGTACGCCCTACCTATGTTATCATCTACAGGAATTGACATGTCTATAATGGTAAGTTCTTTATTTTCCTTTTCCAACAGCATGATATCAGGCCTATTATTGGGTACTAGTTGATCCGTAATTATGCTCATATCCCAATAAAGCTTAGCAGAATAATTTTGGATTATTGCTTTAGGCTGGTATT